TAGTCTTTAACTTATTTATGTATTTAAGATCAAAAGTACTGCTAAATGACGATACCTTGTTGAAAAAAGCTATTTATTGTATACTTTTCCAACCTTTAACTTATTTGTTTATGTATCTATGATCAAAAGTACTTAACGACGATACCTTTCAATAATTGTTGGAAAAAATATTTATTATAGTTGTGTCAACCTTAACTTATTTATTAATGTGTCTGTGATGAAACTAACTATTTGATGACGATACCTTTCAATATTGTTGGAAAAAAGCTATTTATTGTAGCTTTTTGTAACCTTTAACTTTTGTATTTATGTATCTATGATCAAAAGTACTACTTAATGACGATGCCTTTCAATTATTGGGAAAAGCTATTATATATTTCAGTTTATGTTTCGCACTATAAATGTGCATATCGATATCTTCATTTCCTCCATTCCCACTATGTGTTGTCTATTTATCGTGATATAGTTGTCAGTACCTTGATCATTATGATGTTGATATAACTAAGTAAGTTGTAAAGTATATTTTAATGATTAATATATACTCTATCTTTAAATTGTTGTCTTCGATTCTTCCCTCTTAGTAAATTCTTCACTTTCCTCAATTCTCATATGCTTTTTCTCCGTCAAGCAACGTTTTTCTACCCCTTTCTACCATATTTTATTACTTCCCCTTTCAAGTTCATTGATTAACTGATTATACTCCATCTATACATGTTTGTCTATCAGTCTTCCATCTCATACAAAATGTAATTCTTCGTTTTCCTAAATTCTCATATTCCTTTCCTCCGTCCAACAACGTTTTCCCACCCCTCTCTACAATAGCAATGCCTTCGCCTTCAAGTCTATGAGTATACCATAAACCAAGTAATTAAACAGCTGATAGTTAGATAGTTGATCGATTATCTTGCTTCTAACGAGCATAATGATTGTGACATAACTGACACTGCCCTCTATCGACTCGAAATATAATCAGTACCTGCTCATGAAACTTACATATAACTGTCATAAAAATGAGAACCACCTTGAATTTCGCACAAAAAATTGTAGGATAAAGTTTAATGAGCGATGTTAAAGAAAAGAATAACAAAAGAAAAGGAAGAGGAATTAGCAGAAAGAGTAAAGAAGAACGGAGAAGAAGAAAAACAAAAGTGAACATAATTTGATGCTAGCTAAAGAACGAGGTAACCAAATAAACAGAGTACTAGTTGCGGGGTTTAAGACAAAGCGGTGTTGGCGAATTTATTTGAGATCGTACCGATTCAACAACAAAAATGGAAACAGTACTAAGAATGTAAATTGAAGCTTAAAACTTCCATACAACTGTTACCCAGGTCGAAAAAGACAGTTGAAACCAGCCGGTATACCGCATTTTTTCTGTTTACAGTTATTCTCTTTCTGTTTATATTTGATACCGACTAATTCATTATTCATGTATTTAAATTGTTAAATTATCATGTTTTGTCATGTGAGTTATAAGTATCGTGCTATGCACGCGAACCAGGAGATGCAATGTATCATCATCTCATTCTAAATCTCATATGTACTCTGTATCAGAGATAAATAAAGTATCCAGTTGTCATGGTTACAAAGTATAACTTAATAAAACAGTTTTTTGTGTCGTTTTATACTTTAGCGCTTTGTAATAGTGGCATAAACTCTGAATATTGGATTTTTATATTGATAACCTAACGTCTATGGTGATGTTGATGATGGAGATTCTGATATGGTAATATGTTGATGGGTGATCAATGATGAAGATCGATGACGACAGTAATTGTACGTCATAAACATGTGATGAGAGAGGAGAAGAGATGGAGAGAGACAGAAAGAGAGAGAAGGATTAAAATTGAGAGAGATAGAGAGAGAACGATTGAAATTGAGAAAGCGAGAGAGACAGAGCAGAGAGAGAGAGAGAGAGAAGGGGACAGAGAAGAGAAAGAGAGGGAGAGATCGAGAAAGAAAGACAGAGCAGGGAGAAAGAGGGGAGATTGAGGAGATGAGAGAGAGAGATATAGCACCATTGCAATCGTGAATACTGCACCAATACCACCAAATATTGCTATTGTTGCTAACATCTTCACCATGACTACAATCATCTATATTACCACCATGACTACAATCATCTTCATCATCATCACCACTACAATCATTACCATCTCCATCAACACCACCATCATTACCACCATCAACATCATCACCACCATAATCATCAACATCTCCATCAACATCATCTTCATCATCACCACCATTATCCCTCCCCCACCTCCCCTTTGAATAAATGTTATAATTTTGTAGCTCACACGTTACACGTTACGTTACAACACAGCAGTCTGCATTGTAAACGAAAGAGTGCTTCTAAAAAATATTTAAAAACCAGTGACACCACCAAAGCATGTGATAGATTATACATATACAGCATTAAAACAACAAACAAAATCATATACCTTTGTGCAGTACCAAAACTGTTAATTATATTTATATTTCATGTGGATGACAACAAATATTGACAGGTTACATTATATATAAATATGTACATTTACAGTCAAACGTATCTATGATGGCCACCTGTCTTTACAGACAGGTTTATATGTTATTTCTTTTCTCCAGTGAAACAACATCCATTATAACAATCTTGTGTTGAATAATAATAACAAGGTAATTCTGCTGGTCCCAGTATTCAATTTTTCTTTGTTTTCTCTTTCAAAAATCCTGATATAACAAAGTTTCAACATAACAAGCCAATTTCCTTGATAAAATAATAATATGTTCATTTATCTATCATTCTAACACAAAGGGTTTCACGGTGCTGTACAAGGTATGAAGATGGGAAAATCAGATAAATAAATACGTCTTCAAGTGCTTCTGAAAGGTGTCTAGTGTGGGTGCTGTGCAGATGTTCCAGGGCAGTTGATTCCAGAGGGAGGGGTGCACATGATTGAAAAAGCATCGTCATCTGACACTGTGGCTGGTCTACAGTACGCTATATATTGAGGTTCAACTGTATCTTCTATGTTCAACATGTCTTAAAGTGGAAATTACTGAATGTCCCCCCCCCCCCTCCAAAAAAAAAAAAAAAAACATAACAGAAAGACACCACTTGTGGCGCTTACATATATTGTACAGTGCAATCTCATTATAACATAACAAGGTCCTTGGGACCATGGAAATTACCTTGTTATATCAGGCTGAAAAAAACCCATAAGAATATAAAGAGCCGGGACCAGTTAAATCACCTTGTTATAACAGATACCTTGTTATACCAGAGATCTCAATAATGAGGGCCCACCGCACATTAATATTTGCACACTCTGTTATGAGGAATCTTGTAACAAATAAAAAAAAAAAAAAAAATATTTGGACCAAAACAAATTGACCATGTTATATTGGAATCTTGTTAAAATCAAGGTGGGATGGTGTTGGAGGGGGAGGGGGCACAACTGCCCCAATGCCCCGATATTTCAAAATCCAGTTAGCATATCTTACATTTGCAACAAAAAGTGTATAACCCCTCAAAAAAAAAATCTTCAGAATTGTGGCCCCCTCCCTCCTACAAAATCTTAACCTTTATTTTTATTAAAAGCTTGTCTCTAGCCCAGATATCAGGGCCTATAACAATGGGTCTGGTAAAATTACCTTGTCTATACTTGGACCACAATAAAATCAATAAACTGCTAACTTAAAAGTTAAAAGTGATGTCACAGCTTATATCCTAGTCATACTGCCAAACTGACTCCCCAAACTGGACTATGGAAAACATGTCACCCCATGTTTGGTCTATAGCCTGTTTGGTCTCACTGGAGCAGTTGGGGTATTAATAAATACATGTATTATTATACCCTTATTATCAAGGTTTTAAAACAATGAAAAAAAAAAACATAACAAGTGAAAACAGGGATTCAATAGCAAATCTAAATTTCCATAACTATCGAATGAACTATATACAATCCATATTTACATATTATCATCTGTACAGCCGTATACATGTATGACATAACAAGGCACACTTAACAGAGAAAGTTGAGTTCTGGGAAGAGGTGAAAAATAATTGTGAGTATTATCATTGTATTTTGCAAGTGTGGAAGTACATCAGATAAAATGTTCCCTGAAAAGCATGGCTCTTCAAATTCCTTAATATTCTAAATATGGCATGTAACATCATAAAAATCAGGGCAGATTTTTATGCCACATGTTTGTGTAGTCCCATATACATCTTTCTGTGTACAGTGCTTGCAACTTTACCATGACTGGGCCCAATTTCTTATCATTTTGATGATTCCAGTACAATACTTATATGCTAGATGATCAAACTTTTCTGATCGATTCCACAGTTTCTTTCACAATGCAATCGCATGACCAGAACTCAACTTCATCTTTAAAATTATTCAATACTAAAGTCAAAGAAAGCTGAAGAAAAACACTTCTGTGAATCTTACAAAAAAATCCACATGGGCTATTTATGGGTATTCTCTCAAAGTCAATTTTGATCTGTCAAGCTCACCGAGTGTGTTGTGTATTCACAAAGAGCATGTGAATGCTTTATCCAAATGGATTATGTAATGTGCTTCAGTATATATATTCAAACCTGTCTAAGTGGCCACCTCTCTATAGCTGCCATGTACTTTTTCACTCTCTAGAAATAAAATTGTGTGGTATTACCTCATCTGTCTACAATGGCCAGATTTTTTCTGTTTCCCTTGGGTGACCAAAATAGGCAGGTTAGACTGTTTTTGTGTGAATGAGGCACAAAAACGACTAGGGTAAGACCCTTCATCTAATGAGAACATGTTTAGAATCGATGGATGGTATTCTTGAAAGCGGACTAACTTTAGTCCACGGTTTAATCCACTGACTAAGTATGGAATGCCAAGTGTCCATATGAATATATTTTTGAATAATTTGATGTGTCCTAAATTACCATGATAACATAATTATATCATAGTTACATTGTTGTTTAATTAATTATGTTAATACATTTTATTTTAATTAAGTGACAGATTAAATTATTCAAAAACATATTCATATGGACACTTGGTATTCCATATTTAGTTGGTGGATTAAACCATGGACTAAAGTTAGTCCACTTTGGGGAATACCACTCAATGACTTTTGATCATATGATCTACAAGGTGTCCACTCTGTGAGAAACACATCTTACATTCATAGCACTCGTAAGGTTTCTCACCAGTATGTATCCTGAGGTGGATGTTGGCGGCGCTCTTGTCCGTGAACTGCTTCTGACAGACGTTGCATTCGTAGCGCTTGATGCCCTTGTGGGTGTTCATGTGCCGCTTCATAGAGCTTCGGTCCCTGAACTGCCTCCCGCAGTCCTCACACGTATATGGCTTCTCTCCCGTATGGATGGTGGAATGGCTGACGAGGTAAGCTTTCCTGGAGAAGCGCTTCTGGCAGACGTCGCACTCGTAGCGCTTCTCTTCGTCATGGATGGCACCGTGTTTCTGGAGTGTCTTCTTTGTCTTGAAGAACTTCTCGCAGACCTCACACTGGAATTCCTTGTTCTCGGTGGTGACAACGTCTTCCTGGAGGACCACCTCTGTGACCTTGTCCATCATGACCTGAGCGGCCATCATGGTCTGAGCCAGAGCTTGAGAGGCAACGCGATGTTCCGCTTCATGCTCCACCAAGTGAGCTGTCAGGTTCTCCTGTCCAAAGATTTCCTTGCTACATACCCCACACTCAAACATGGACTTTTTGCGATGGGTCTTGGCATGCTGCCTCATGTTGGTGGCCGTCCAGAACATCTTCCCGCAGAACTCGCAGGAGTGCGACTTCTGCCCTGTGTGCATCTTAACATGAGAGTTGAGGGCGCTTTTGTCTGCAAAGGCTCGATCGCAGGTCTCGCACTTGTAGGGCTTCAGGCCAGAATGGATGATCTTGTGCATTCGGAGAGTACCCGGCTCGGTGAAAGCTTTGTGGCATGTCTCGCACTCGTAGGGTTTCTCTCCCGTGTGCACACGGACGTGGTTGATAAGACGAGGTTTCGTTGGGAAGGCCTTGCCACAAAGAGTACAGCAGAAGGATTTCTCGCCTGTATGAATCCTATTGTGGGTTTGGTAACTGGCACGGGTCTTCAGGACTTTGTTGCAGATGGTGCAGGTGAAGGATCTCTCTGGAGGCTTCTTTGGCTTGATGCCCTGGTGGAGCTTCATGTGGGCATTCAGGAAGTTCTTTCGTACAAACTTCCGAGGGCAAAGCTCACACGCAAATGGCCTGTCTCCTGCGTGCATCCGCCTATGTAGGTTCAGGTATGATTTGTCACGGAAGGACTTTCCACACAGATCACACAAGAAGGGCTTTGCTCCAGTGTGAATGGATTTGTGCCTACGCAGGGAAGTCATGTCGGAGAACTTCTTCTCGCAGAGCGTGCAGCCAAAGGGCTTCTCACCCGTGTGAACTCTTCTGTGACGTTCTAGATAAGCCTTCTGGGCAAAGCTGTTGTTGCATATGTCACACTTGAACGTCTCAACCACTTTCTTAGGTCTGGAAACCTTGACCGATATAGGAACATACTCATCATCTCCATTCTCCAGTTCCTTATGGGTCAGCTTGTGTTCCTTCAGCTCCTCTTTCGCTTCAAACTCCACTTGACAGACGCGACATTTGAACACCCTCTTGACGTTTGGGATGATAACTGGACCATTTTCGGAGCTAACAACCTCTCCCTCAGCCTCATTACCCTCTTCCATCTTGACCTTGTGTACCTTCTTCTGGTGCTGGGTTCGCTGACCCTTCTGTCTGAAACCGCTTATCGCAGAAGGCACATTTGAAAGGCTTCTCTGCTGAGTGCACCCTCATGTGTGAAGCACACGCACTTTGGTCACTGAAAGCCTTATCACAGAAGCCACAGTTGTAAGGTTTCTGTCCGGTGTGTATCCGTTCATGCCTCCTGAGGGACTTCAAATTGTAAAAGGTTTTATCACACACCGAGCACTTCGGTCCTTGACCCGTGTGCAGTTTCCGGTGATATTTAAGGCTGATGGGCGTTGAGAAAACTTTGTTGCATACTTCACATGCATAGACCTTTCCTCTCTCGTGTTTCTTGCGATGGATGGTGAAGGTACGCAGATTGGGAAACTTCTGCTCACATATAGGGCACTTAAAGACTTTAGATTTCTTGACACCATCGGTCACTTCATCTTCTTTATCAGCCTTGTTCACAAACTCAGCGTGAGTCTCCATGTGTTTCTCCCGCTCGTACTTGTAAATGAATGAGTCAGTGCAGAAGGGGCAGGTGAATTTCTTTCCACATTTCCCAGACTTTTTATGCTTTTCGAGACCACTTGGGCTGAGGAATGCTTTGGAGCAACTCTCGCAACGCAGGAGATTTTCTTCCTTGTGGTCCTGCCCCCCGTGAGTGAGACGATGGGTCCTCATCTGGAAGCCGGTATAGAACTTCTTCAGGCAGACGTCGCATTCCACCTGCTTGTCACCTGCATGATCGACGTTTCTTGTGGCTCTTCAACGAGGAGCCATCGCTGAATCTCATATCGCACAGATCGCATCTGTACGGCTTGGTGCCTTTGTGGATGATGGTGTGTCGCCTCAGGGCGCCGTGGCTCTTGAAGGTCTTGTCACACTCGGTGCATTGATAAGGACGCTGTCCCGTGTGGGTGTTGAGGTGTTCCTTGAGGATCCAGGATGTCCTGAAGGTCTTAGAACAGTACATACAATCCCAGGACGCATGTGTGGATTCATGCCTTGTCAGCTGACGCACGCTCACAAACGATTTCTTGCAAACGGGGCAATGTTTACTCTTATCGTTGCCTCCCTTCTTCTCAATCATGGCATCCTCTTCTGTCTTTGCATCCTCCTCCTCCTCCTCACTGCTTTCAGACTGTGGTTCCTCTTCAACCGTTATGTGCAGCATTCTCTGATGCATCTTCAGACCTCTTAGTGAAGCACACGATCGGGAACACCTGTCACAATCAAACATGGATCCTTTCTTCTTCGCTGCTAACGGTTCCTCCCAGTCGATATCATCAGGGTCATTCCCTCCATCTCCAACATCGTCATCATCCTCGTCATCATCCACAATCTGTAACTGTTTCTGACCTTTGGGGGGTAATGCAGGGACTTTCCCTTCATCGACTTCCTTCATGCTCATCCTCTCGCTCAGGTCTTCCTTCTCGTGCACAACCATGTGGAAGGTGAGGTAGCTCTTCTTGGTGAACGTGGAGCCACAGATATCACACATGAACATGGTCACCTGACTGTGCATCTTCATATGCCTCTGGAGAAGTGCCTCATCCTCAAAGCACGCCCCACACTCCTCGCACTTCGCAAGGGAGTGCTTCTGACGCATGTGCTTCAGGCGCTGGCCGTCCGTCTCGAAGAACTTGCTGCAGTAGCGACACAGGTAAGGGGCGTGCTCCCTGCCGTGAGACTTCTCATGGGCGCGGTTCTGTCGCTCGGTCCGGAACTCTCGCCAGCAGTAGTGGCAGATTTGTTTGGGCGAGTCTGGGGTCTTAACTGCAATTTTGACTGGGGTCTCTTTCCTAGGGGTAGTACTTGACGCCGCGGTTTCAATGATCTTCACACTGGAATCACTGTCTGGTATTTCTGCAAAGCAATAGCCAATAGACGATAATTGAAATTCATTGAATATCTTCTTTCACAGTGTTTAACTAACTTCATATTTATTAATATGAATTGGGAACTTTAAGAAATCCATGATCAATGTAATGTTAAACAAATTTGGCTGGGCATTAGGACATCAGACTGGTCTATTGCATTTGTATTCAACTTGGCAATTTTAACTTTAATTTAATATATTGGGAAGTTTTTTTTCCAAGGAAGAAATGTTTAGGTCTTATCTGAAACAATGGATTATACTCAATATTTAAACTTTGCACCTCACTCAAGATAGATTAATGATTGGAATTCATAAGCCAGACCTGCCAACCTCTGGAGTTCAAAAACTGTATTCTTTAATCCCAAAAGTTGCATTTTACTAACAAAAGTTGCGTTCTTAAAAATAAACACGGACCTTTTCGCGGATCAATGCATTTTACAGTTCCTACATACAGGAAGAATTTTTTTTTATGGATCATTGGTTGAATATGCATGATTCCGTCACGACTGTTGTGTTCGATGAACCAATGTACATCCCCAAATTGCCGATGTGAGATGCTTGTAGGATACCTTACAGGACAGAATGGACTTTTTGCCATTGAAAATTCCACACACACAGAAAACAGAAAAATTATATTAAAAAATATTCATTAAAATATATATATATATATATATATATATATATATTAAAAATAAAATAATATATATTTTTTTTAATTGTATTTTATTGAGGAAAATCGTACTGTCGTATTTGCTTCTAAAAATCGTACAAAATATGACTAAATCGTACTGGTTGGCAGGTCTGATAAGCCTAGTCTCAAATTAAAGGATTAACTGTCAGTTTCTTTCAAAAACATCATTACTTGGAAATGTCAAAGTTTACCTTGAACTTCTAGAGAGCTTGACCTCGGCTCTGCATTGGTTTGAGGTTGGTCTTCAGGAATCATGGTATCCGCGCTCTGATTGGTCATCTCAGACACCAATATTATGGTATCTGCATTCTCATTGGTCAACCCGGCTTCTGGTGTCATGGTATCTGCACTCTGATTGGTCATCTCAGACACCAGTAGGACAGGATCTGCATTCTCATTGGTCAACCCAGCTTTTGGTGTCATGCTATTTGCGCTCTGATTGGTCATCTCAGACACCAGTATGACAGGATCTTCATTCTCATTGGTCAACCCAGCTTTTGGTGTCATGGTATCTGCACTCTCATTGGTCAACTCGGCTTGAAGCATGACAGTATCCATGTCCTGATTGGTTGGTTGTGCATCTTCACCCATCGTTTCTAAATTGAGATTGGTCGACTCTGCTTCGGGAAGGGAGGAACCAGGGAAAGTGGATGAATGTCTGGTGCCGTCGATCTCATCCCTCTCAACAATCTGAACAAAGCTTTCTGTACGGGTTGGTTGAAAGATAGAGGGAGAGAGAGAGAGAGAGAAAGAGCGTGAGACATTATAGCATCATTCATATGTAACGACATAAGTATCATATACTTCACGTTTCAGTATCTAATAACATACCAAAGAGCCTCTCTTTCGTATCAATTGTGGCAAGAAGTAGGTGCAAACAGACCAAACCGAAAGTGAGAGTTAACTTTCAAAGCCTGGCCAATAAAGAGGAGCATGACGTCATCAATGGCCGGTATTGGAATTGCACCAGTAATAGAAACTCATGCATGGACGAGAAGGAATTTTACTATCGAAAACAAATGATTACGATTTCAAAGGAAATGGTCTATAAGGCAATTGACCTAATTATTATTCAGTAGATACAAAAGCCTAGGCAGGTCCGGTTGAGTGGGGAGGGGGGGGGGGGGGAGGGGGGGCGGGGGAGGGGGAGGGGGGGGAGGGGGTCTAATCTTCCCGTATTAAAGAAAGCGTATTTTTATTTTGTTAGTTTGTACTTGGCCTCTCACACGATCATACATGACCATCAATGTATGGACAGAGGCGTGACAATTGTGTGTCTTGTTTTATTTAATTTTAAATAAGTTTGTCTTTTATACTGCACTTTAATGATACATCAACTATTTTTCAGCCAAATATTCGAGTAATCTTTTATTTCCACATTATAAACTTGTTGTTTACTTTTTGAAAGTGTGGTTTTGATTTGCTATGGATAGGATATGTACTTTATCGACTCATTATTTTGTTTTTGTTTTATTAATCAATAATCCTATTTTAAGAACACTTTTTCTTATCCATTGCAGATATTGTACAATTAGTCCCTAGACTATTTTAAATATCATCTATGAACAGTAAATTATTATACATTTACTGTTTATAGATGTTTTTTTTAATAGTTTCTAGGTGTAAACTTTTTTGACTCACACTGTATATCTCAAATTTCTATTGTAAATTGATATGTCCGTCTGTGTAATATTTATTAGTGGGACGAATTCGCCTATACCTAAATGTTTGAAACTCCTTCTGAACATATTATGCAATCTACTATTCATTAAATGAAACATAAACATAAACATTGGTTTATCTTCTTTTAGAAATTACATAATGATGAGTATTTTTTTCACGATTGTTATTTTTATCACATCTTACCATTAAGCCAACAGGATGATAATGTCATTTTTTTTTTTTTTAACGTAGGCCTACCTTTTTTTTTTTTATTTCTTCACATGGGTCTCTGATAAAGTGCACTAAACAAACGAGGTGGGGAAAATGGGCGGACATTCCATTGTAAATATGTAAAAGAAGTTTTCAAAGAACATAAATTAAGAAATGAGTGCTTGTATCCATTTTGGTCCTTTGATACCCACTCGTAGCCGGGATGACACAGTCGTGGACTAAGTCTTGTGGTTAAAACGAATCAGAGAGTTTTTGTTTATGTATATGGGAGAAATTTTCGGTTTGCTTTCTGCTAGTAACCATGACATTATTGTGTACAATGTTCTCAGTAATTGGGTTATAATGCTTCCTGATGTAAGCCGGAGACAGCGGAGCCGGGGAGGGGTGGGGACAGGGGGCACTGTGCCCCCAAACTTTTTCAAATACCCTAAACTACCCCCTTTGCTATAGGAAAGGTGCCCCCTTTTACTTCAGATAAGTGCCCCCCCCCCCTTTTTTTTTTCTTTTACTTTGACATGTGCTCCTTTTCTTTTCTAATAAGTGTCCTTTTTATCTTTGTGCTAACGTGCTCATTTATTTATTTATTTATTTTTTTTTTTTATTTTTTTATTATAGTTTTATTTTAACAGGGTGGTCTCATTCAAGTTCATTTCTGAGCCTGCTCTCCCAGAGAGCCCTGTATTCACATAAAAAACATGTACAATAATAACATGAATTCAAAACATACATACAAAGGTAAAATATACATGGTATATACAATAATTAAACATGGGTAACGAAAAACACGCATTAACAATAAATTATAAGGAAAAAAAATACAACTATCAAATTGAAAAAACTAGATGAATGAAATGTAATAAATAAAGGTCAAATTAACGTGAAAATATGTTTACAAGGGACACTGAAAGGTTTTGACATTCTTTTTAAAACTTTGCAGCGACTTACAATTTTTAATATGATAGGGTAATTTATTGTATATTTTAGCTCCTGAAACCGCTAAGGTTTTCGTTTTAAAATTTGTTTTACACTTTGGAATGAATAATGGACTGTTTAAAGCATAACGAGTAGAATATAATATCGGTCTTTTACTTATACATGGATTAAGATATGGTGGTGATAGGTCGTTTATGATTTTAAAAATCAAGATGCATTTCTGATATTTAATTCTTTCCTCTAATGACCGCCATTTCAATTTACTCATTAAAACATTTTGGGGTGTAAAATATTCGGCACGAAGAACTAATCGTGCATATCTATTTTGTAATTTTTGCAACTTTGTTAGATTTTGTTTCGAAGTATTCCCCCATACTGAATTACAGTAGTTTAAATGCGGTAGGATAAGAGAATAGTATAATGTAATAAGATTCTTACGGGAAATATAATTGCGTATACGTCTAATGCAGGCAATCGTACCCGATACTTTCTTAACAACTTCTTTTACATGTAACGACCATGTTAAGCTTTTGTCTAGTGTTACACCTAGATATTTCATACTTTCGACTGAGTCGAGTACATTGTCACTGTAACGAATACAAATATTATTATTTTGAATTTTTCTTTTGGAACCAAATAGTATTGTTTTGGTTTTATTTGCATTTAAAAACAGTCCATTGTATTTTAGCCATTTCAAGATACGGGTAAAATCTTTTTGGAGATTGTATTCACAAACTTTATAATCCTTTCCATGATGAAATACTGCCGTGTCATCTGCATATAAGGAAATCTTTGTCTTAGAATGGAGTTGCAGGTTACAAATATCATTCACATAGAGGCAGAAAATTAATGGCCCCTGTATTGATCCTTGTGGATTTCCTGATTTCACAGTTAGAAAATTACTCTTAGTCCCTTGCAAGAATACACATTGTTGCCTATTAGATAGATAGGATTCGAACCACTCAAGTTCAACTCCCCCAATACCATACAATAACATTTTCTTAATAATCAATGGATGTGGTATAACGTCGAACGCCTTTTTCAGGTCAAGAAAAATGGCTCCAGTGACCAGACCTTTGTCCATATTGTCAAGTATACCTTCGACTATTTCAGTCAAGCATGTTAGAGTTGAATGCCCTGGTCCAAAACCTGATTGCCGTTCACTTAACAAAGAATGTATGTTTAAGTAAGAGTATATCTGATTGTGCACTGC